TGATATACTTTTTTATCTCGGGAGATTTCGTAATGGGTTTATCCTCACGAGACACTGTATATAGAAAAAAAATATTTATATTGTCTATAATATATTGAATACAGGCTGTGAAATTAAAACATCACCAATAAATAATTCTAAGAGAAGGCCTTCCACTCATTGGCCTCTCTTAGCTACACTAATGCACAGTAGTTTCGGGTCTCCATTTTATACTAYCTACTTCTTCTTATACATATAATTATTAAGGGACGGATTGAATGCAAATTTTTTTTTTTGAATGTCCGAAAACATTGCTTTCTAAGCACAGTCATTTCATACATTAAGCAATTAAAAAATGTAACTTTTTTGCATTTTAGAACTTAATCACATTTTTATGTTTTTAAGTAATTTTTAAATAGGAATGGATAAAATTCATTCTAAAAATAAAAATAAATATTTATTATGTTTTTACCAATCAGATAAACACTGACTCTTGACGAAATTATTGTTGACACGTGTAGACACGTCGTATATGGTATATAACACAAAAAATTATACAAATTACAACATATTACATACAAATATACAATTAGGTAAAGATAAGCTATTTATCTAATTTGTAATTTTGTATTGCACTGTTTAGTCAACTTAATGTGTTTTTAGAAGTTTTAGGTTTTTAAGTTYAAAATTGTATTTTTATTGAATTTAAAACATTTTTAAAGTTTTAAGGCATTAGGTTGTATTTTTTATAGCATTGAAGTCAGTTTCCTAATAATTATACATTATGATTTWTTTTTTGCTTCTTTAAATGCATTTTCCTGCTGGCGCTCTTGTCCCCTTCCTAATTTTTTGTCCATTTTTAATTTAGTTAATTTTTTATGTATATTTTTAAAACTTTGATCATCTATTTCAGGGAGCTCTCTAAATAATAATTTTTTGATTTATTAGTATTTATTAAGCAAATGGAAATATTTATGGGAATAGAATCAAAAATAAAATTTGGATATTAATATTATTAGAAGAAGTTGACTTTGGAAAAAATTTGTGGAACAAAAGGCAGTCACCGAAATATTATTAATTTATTCATGAACCTTATCAGACTACATAAATACGGCTCTATTACTTACACTATAGTTACACTTACTAAACTTACTTTACTACCGCGGTGATAAGATAACGTTGTTGACTGATGGGCGACACTGCCTGCGACGGCGATAAGTTCGATTTCAATTTTCAACGACCGTCGAACAGTACTTTCATAGTGTTTGTACAGTAGACAGTAGTATGGTACGTCAGTGAATATCGAATGAATAGTGTATTTCTACATCGACAGTTCGAAGGTCGTAGTTTACGACTGATGGTTGGACGATTTTAACGCAAAACTCGTACTTCGTGTGTTAACATGACTATCATAATAATTAATAATAATAATGACGACGACAGAATTATAGATTTTAGAGTTTTCAAATACTTTTTGRTGGCCTCCATTTGCAAATAGACGAGTGCTTTCACTAAATCTAATCCTCTWAGTCGTGCAGTACTGAATTTTTTATAAAATAATAAACATCATTAAAATATTATTTTATATTACATATATGTCCAGCAAACCCTACTTACCACCATGGACGGAAACGGTCTCACCACATTACCTATACTCGAGGAAACATTTTATGCACTGTCCAGAAAACAGTACTCGTACAAGGTGTCGCTGACGAATGAAGGTCTGCACTTGACCAAGAGTGGTGATGACGGCACCGAGAAGACTGACCTGATACACATTCGTGATATAATTGGCTGTAAATGCATGCGGAATAGTGGAAAGTCTGACCACTGTGCCTGTCGTCCAGCGAAAGCAGGCACAGCTGAAGCCGCCAGAGGAGGCACAGCAGAAACCGATGAGTGTCGAGTGCGGGTRCCATATGTGGAGGCTGGTGACTGCAGTGCATACCTATGTGTGTATGCATTTGTGCTGAAGAATGTGGGGGCTAAGAACAAGAAGCGTGACAAAATGACCGTCACACTGAGGTTCCGCAACTATAGAAGTTATGACGAGAACAGCCGAGTGGCAACCAAGTGGAAGTTGGCCATAAAATCACTACTGCAAGCTAGATGCGAGGATGGGACTATTGTTGCACCATCAGATGATCATTACCTAGGTAAGCACTATTGAAAATAAAACATTCTTTAATCAAAAGTAAGTTATAATGGGTAGGTACATACTTAGAAATTTAGAAAACYCAAAATATGAATACTAGGCTAATAAAGTTAAGTGCTATTTAATGCTATTTAATATAACATCTATTATAAGTAAGAAACTATCTAGTAATTTTATCTTAACTAATCTGGGTTCCATAWTTTATTTATCAATACAATATTGTTCTGTTTATATAGTAGGTACCTACCTAATTTTGATTAGGTAGTAGGATTTTAATGCTTGATGCAAGTATATCTAATCATTTTTCTTTTAAGTTACAATGAAATTGTATTCTATTTTTATAGTTCTTATTCTCTTTATTATTTGTTTTTCATTATATAGGTAAATAYAAATTATAACCTAACCTAACCTAACCTAATAATTAATAGGAACTTTTTCTTGTGTAAGTATCTTTTTGTTAAACAATTTTTTTTWAAATTTTCATTTTGATTATTTTTAAGAAAAGAGGAAAAATATCTGTACCTAGGATTTTTTAAAATTATAACCAACAAATAAACTTAAGGCGTTTTAGACTTGTTTTATACATGACAATTTGAATTCTACTCATAAGCGTGCGCAAATTTAATCTACCTTTCCTAAAAAAAAAAAAAAATAACTTTAATGCAAAATTAAGATTTGTAAAACACATATTGGTTAGTACTTACCCTTGTATCTAATTATGTTTCACTTACTGTTATGTTTATTAAGAGGACGTGATACCCGCATGTGTTGTCTCCGTCTTACAAGTACATAGTAATTTTTATGCTCAACACTTGTAGCTCTGTTAGTTTAAAATTAAGAGTGAATTGACCTATAATGAAATTTAAACGTAAGACTGTTATCCAGACAACCTCATATGCTTTTTATAATATTTTAATTTTAAAAATTGTAAATAGTTTTCACATCTTAAAATACTCATTACTCATGACTTTTATAAGAGGTCAATTCTCTCCAAATTTTAAACTAACAGACCTACACGTGTTCTGCTGAGCGTAAAATTTGGTATGTTATGTACTTGTAACACGGAGACAACATATGCGGGTATCACATCTCCTTAAAAGATATGTATTTTTTTTTAATTAGTAGAGATATTATATTAAATTTATATATATATCTTGAAATAATAAATTTTTATACACCTACCTACATTAGGATATTAAAATCATTACACTATTCCACTTAAATCAMATTTTTAACAGTAGAAAGCTATAGGTTTTAGTTTTTATAAATAAAAGTAAAATACACACCTTGGAATAAAAATTAATATTATCACTATTACGATTTATCTTCAAAATTGATGTCACTAATAGTGATTGTTTTATTTAACTGGTTATCTAAATTATTTCATACCTCATCTAGCGTGGGCTATAACTCGTAATATTTTATTTTGTAGTTTTTCAGTGTATTTTTGAGTATTTTAAGATATAAAAACAATTTAAAATTTTACAATAGTCATAACTTGCTTTTAAATCAAAATATAATAAAAAGCCTATGAGATGCCCTAGTTAAGAGGATACTACACATAAATTTTGTGTTTCTGTCTTACAAATGCGTAACAAAGCAAATTTATGCTTAGCAGATCACATTTAATTCCGTTTATAAATAAGAATAAATGGATTTATTATGAAAATGTATGGTAATTGGTAAGACATTAGTATGGTAACATTATCTGTGTTTGTATGCGGTTTTTTTACGATAACTTAGTTTTTAAGTGAGTTATGAGCATTTTTAATTTACCCTTTCTTATAAATGCWTAACTTGCTACAAAATTGAACTATCATAAAAAATCCATATACAAATATAGATAATATTATTAACTTCAAGTTTCATTATAGGTTGATTCACTCTAATTCAGCGTTTCTCAACCTTTTTTCATTTACGTATCCCTTGTCCTCTCACCACTGCTTTACGTACCCCCCCAAATGTCAATTTATTATATATTCACACACAACACAAATATGATATTATGAAATAAGTTTGATAATGGACAATTTCAAAATAATATTTATTAATTAATTTAATTAGCCATACAATGTACGTATATATATATAAAAGTAATATAAACTTTACTATTTAATTTTTATGAGACCCTTGGGCTTGTTTGCTGGCACATAATTTTTTGAAATCTGGCTCCTCGGATGATAAGTAAACTCGTAAATCTGAACTCACAGAGAGTCTATTACTATACTTATTTTTAATGTACGTGTATGACGAAAAGGCCCTCTCCACCAATTAGTACTCATGAACGGCAGCAGAACATTAAATGCTTTGTTTGAAAGCTCAGGATACTCTTCTTTTACGTCAGCCCAAAAAGCGATGAGATTTTTTTTCAAATATTACTTCAAGTGAAGAAYTYGTCTTCAGTTCAATAAGTTTTTCTTTTTCTCGTACTGATAAAACTGCAGATTTGAAATATTTTTCACTGAAAGGGAATGCTATCCAGTGGTCTCCTTTTTTACATTTTGGGAAGTATTTATTAAAAGCCGCCTTGAGTYCATTCAAATGTTTAACAACTTGGACTTTGATATCTTGCGATAGGTTTATATCAGTTATGATTGACATTGTATTGAACAAYGTTACGTAACCCGATAAGATAAAATCCAGCGTCTAGCTGTGCCACATTATTAAATATTTAACAAATTACAAACCATTTAAAATACACCAATTGTAATTTTTTCCGCCATTACGTTTTTTTTTCACGTACCCCCTCATACCTTCTTACGTACCCMCAGGGGTACGCGTACCACAGGTTGAGAAACGCTGCTCTAATTTACTAATGGAGCTAAACGTGATCTGCGGAGCGTAAATATTCTATGTTATGCACTTGTAAGATGGAGACAGCAAATAGTTGTGTAGCATCCTCTTAGTAACCATACCTTTAAATTTTATAAAAGGTCATTTCTCTTTAATTTTAGAAATTATTATGATTATAGTAATTATAGAAAACACAAAATTTGTTATGTTGCATAAAAGTTAGATAGCGAAAAATTATGTATAGACATCCTCTTAAACATTAAACAAAGCCCTAGAACAGAGGTATTCAAACTGTGCTTCACAGCTCCCAAAGGCATCACAAGAGTTGGAGAAAGGAGCTGTGTCAAAGCCYGAATACCAAGATTAATGTAGGTCTTGTATAATAAATATTATTTATAATTATTATGGAAAACAATAACAACACAATCATATGATACACGTTTATTTCTAGTACTAAATTCACCGTTATAATCACYCATATTGGCCATTTGTATTTGTATTGATAATTGATTCAATTTTTTCATAATTATTTAGAAGCCGTTAAACTATTGTGGACACRCAAATGAATACCTCTGCTATAGAAATTATAAAACTCGAATAAATAGCCACAGACCATAGAGTGTGTTGGTGCACACCTGGCACATTCTGTGCATATCCCTATGAATCTACTTTAAAAATTATGTTTTTCCAGTGACACTGAATCAAGCATTTARGTATTTAGTGGGTTTATGCTTACTGAGTATTTCAGTTAAATGGTCTCAGATCAAAATAGGTATTTTCGGTAGGTTTAAAAAAAGAACTGAAGTGTCCGAAGTATATGTTTTGAAAAATTCTACATTTTATTCTCTTGTTACAAGTAGGGAWTTCTAAAATGCTTRACAAGATGCTTTCCATGTGTTTTAAGTACCTTATACGGTTCAGCAGTTGACAAACTATGTTYTGCAGTACCATTAAGGCTCTGCAATCATTTCTTAGGAATTCTATTCGATCTATTTGCTTTTCCATAAA